TTTCAGGCTCCACTGTACACAATTCGCTAATAAAACACCGGGTGTGATGTGTGCATTTCGGCCCTGGGATTGGCCCAAGGGCTCCACCCGAGCTACTCTGCTACTCTCACCCCGCCCCGCGACCCCGCCTCGGCGCAGCCAGCCTCCGACCCGGCTAAGCCGTGGCTGGTGCACCGCCTCTTCGCTACGGAGAGGCCAGCTGGCCACGGCGGTACCGCGCTGGGCCTGTTCAGGCGATTTCCAGATCGCTGCTTTTCAGGGTGCCGACCTTAGGGGTCACGAAACTCGAGTCCTTGTAGTTTGGCCTTCTGGTACAGCACTTTTTCTACCTATTCTGCTTTCCAATAAATATGTGCATAGGTTTTTAAAAATCAAATGTTTAGCCCACTCCTCTGAACAGAGCCTCTGCTGCCATGGATCTGTTGACTGTGCTGGATGAGTTGGAAAGAGATGCCATTGCCGAGTATGAATTGATAGGACCGATCGCTGACTATGATCCCAGGGAGGAGATGAAAAAACTTCGCGAGCTACTGGAGCCATTCGCAAAGAAGTGGAGTATTTTGTTCTTCACAAAGGAGCAGACGATGATGCTGGAGGACCACTTCCTGAAGGACCCCTTTCCATCCCACTTTACCCTGCTGACCCTGGCCTTCCGCCTTGGCCTAAAAGAGAGAGACCTGCGACACGTGCAGCATTGGTTTTTTGAGCAGCAGTGGATTAAATTCCCCTCCTCCAGGCGCTCACGCTCCTTTCCGGGCACATGGGTCACATTTCCTTCCGCGGAAGGTGCCGGCTCCTGCAGCCCAAGAAGCCCCGGAAGCTCCTGCGTTCAGTGCCAGGCCCCTGAGAACCTCCCGGAGAGTGCCCTGAAGAGTGAGCCCGGAGCAGCCCTTCCCAAGGGGCCCTGCGTCCTGGGGTACACGACGAGAAGCCAGAAGCCGCCTTGAAGAGCCTTGCACGTGACCTTCCAGACGTCCTTGAAGAGGAAGTCAAATGAGATCCAAGAGATTTCTGAGTGGGTGGGGGGTTCTGCACCTTCCCCATCCCACAGGTCCTCACTCTGGCTACTCTCCATCTCTTGTTACCCCCACCTGTCCTTTGAGTCACCAGGAGTGTATCTGGGTCTCTAGGAGTGGAATGGGTGTTCCTGGGTGCACCTCCTTCCCTTTATGCTTCCCCCGCACCCTGCAGGAGGTGAGGCTGTGACCACCTGCTGGCTTGTGTCCTAACCACGTTGTCCCTCATGAATAAAGTCCCATAATAAAGGTAAAATAAAATAAAATAAAAATCAAATGTTTAAAGGCTCTAAATAAAAACAGGAAGTTCCTTTTCTGCATCCATTTTTAGATATTTAAGCAACTCTGACTTTGAACTGTCCTCAGTATTTTTAATTACTTGATTTTTCAGCTGTAGATGGACGCAGTCCCTTTATTTTATTTCTGTGTGGTGCTGAGGATGGAACCCCGTGCCCCACACATGCTAGGCAAGCGCTCTACCGCTGAGCCCCAGCCCCTCAGCCTTTTATTCATCAATTTGAGACATTGTTTTAAATTTCTTACTATGCTATTGAGAATTTTGTCTGCCTTTCTTCTTACCACATCCCTAACTCACAATGGATATAAGTATGAATATGTAATGTAGTTCTCACAAACTTTGGTTAGGTACATTCAGTGTTTCATTGTAATAACAGTCTTTCCTACTGAGCCAAAGAGGATTCTTTGTACGATTTTTTTTTTTGTTTGTTTTTTAACAATCACTTTTGGGGGGGCTGAAGTTGTGGATTAAAATAAAAGTACTGTGTCCCCCTACAACTAAAAAAAAAAAAAAGTTTTTAAAAAAATTACTTCTTTGAACTGGGCACAGTGGCCCACTCCTGTAATTCCAGTGGCTTGGGAGGCAGACACAGGAGGATCTCAAGTTCAAAGATAGCCTCAGCAACAATGAGGCAGTAAGCAACTCAGTGAGACCCTGTCTCTAAACAAAATGCAAAATAATAATGATAATGAGGAGGAGGAGGATTGGGGATGTGGCTCAGTTTTGAGGGCTTTCGAGTTCAATCTCTAGAGCCAAAAAAAAAAAAAAATTGGCACTAGGGATTGACAACAGGAGCACTTTGCCACTGAGCTATATCCCCTCTAAGTTGCTGTGGCTGGCCTCAACTTTGCTCAGCCTCTCAATTCACTGGTTTTACAGCTGAATGGTCTTAAACCCGAATACACTTCTACTTCCCTCAAGGTCTAATCTGCCCCGCACTGTTAGCGCTTCCTTTTTCCTGCTTTTTCCTGCAGCAGCTGACATCAGGGGATTTTCCTTGACGTCCTGCATTTCTCATCTCAACTATGTTAAATCTTCGGTGTCCTGGAAGTGTTTCTACTCATTTTCTTGGTCAATTTTTATCTTATTACTTTCCACAAAATGGTCTAAATAATCTATATATGTTACTTGTTTTTTAACAATTTGCATTGTTCCTTTGCAAAGTTGGAGGAACAAAAGCTCATTATTTATTTTTAATATTGTTTTTTAGTTGTAGACAAACACCATACCTCTAATTTATTTTTTTTTTTTTAATGTGGTGCTGAGGGTGGAACCCAGTGCCTCAATGTGCTAGGTGAGTGCTCTACCACTGAGCCACAACCCCAGCCAGCCACCACAAGTTACTATGGTCCTAACATTCTGCATAGAAAATTATTTTTTCATTTGAACACTGAAAACCAACAGTGCTAGATAGAAAATGCGCAGTGTTAATGGAGAAGTCTTGCTTCATGCCTATTAATGTTCCTTTGTATATAATTATGTGTCACCTCTTTAGAACTGATTTCTGCAGGGATGCAGTGGTAGAGCACTTGCCTAGCATGTGTGCAGCACTGAAATCGAGTCTCAACAACTCAACAGCTAAAAAAACAAATAAAAGATTTATGCAACTATTTCATGGTGATAAATATTTTAGTTCCAATAGTCTTAAGAAATTATCAATTTGGATCAATTCTTAGATATTGTTATTTTTAGAAATTTTCTCCATGTCTGTTTAATTCTTTCCATTTTCTCTTCTTTCTGGATCCTTGAATAATCTGGTGTTAGAATTTTGAAACTGAAAGAGCATGCTACAGGGATACTGCCACATCGATGTTCATAGCAGCACAATTCACAATAGCTTGACTGTGGAACCAACCCAGATGCCCTTCAATAGATGAATGGATAAAAAAATGTGGCATTTATACACTATGGAATATTACGCAGCACTAAAAAATGACAAAATCATGAAATTTGCAGGGAAATGGATGGCACTAGAGCAGATTATGCTTAGTGAAGCTAGCCAATCCCTAAAAAACAAGTACCAAATGTCTTCTTTGATATAATGAGAGCAACTATGAACAGAGTAGGGAGGAAGAGCAGGAAAAAAAAAGATTAACTTTAAACAGAGACATGAGATGGGAGGGAAAGGGAGAGAAAAGGGAAATTGCATGGAAATGAAGGGAGACCCTCATTGCTATACAAAATTACATATAAGAGGTTGTGAGGGGAATGGGAAAATAAACAAGGAGAGAAATGAATTACAGTAGATGGGGTAGAGAGAGAAGATGTGAGGGGAGGGGAGGGGGGATAGTAGGGGATAGGAAAGGTAACAGAATACAACAGTTACTAATAGGGCATTATGTAAAAATGTGGATGTGTAACCGATGTGATTCTGCAATCTGCATTTGGGGTAAAAATTGGGAGTTCATAACCCACTTCAACCTAATGTATGAAATATGATATGTCAAGAGCTTTGTAATGTTGTGAACAACCAATAAAAAAAATAATAAAATAAAAAAAAAAGAAACGACCAATAAATGTCAGTTACACTCTAGGAAAAAAAATTTTTTTGAAACTGATTGTACAATTGTCTTACCTTTTTTTTTTTTCCTTTTAACTCATGGCTTTTTCTCTTGGATCTGTTTTCTAAAGTGTTCCTTTGTTTGTTTGTTTGTTGTTTATTTGTTTTTTAACCAGAAATTGTATCCAAGAGCCTCTACCACTGAGCTACATCCCCATGCCTTCGTATTTTGAGACATGGTCTCATCACTAAGTTGATAAGGCTAGCCTCAAACTTGATGTCCTCATGCTTCAGCCTCTCACGTCACTGGAACCACAGACATGCACACACCATGCTCAACCTTCTTTTACTTTTAACCCTTTTGTTATGATCTTTAATTTCCTAAAATCCATAGCTTCCTATTCTTTTTTCCCCCCATGGGTAAATCATCTCTCTGATGAGTATTAAAATTTTAAAAATACAAATTTATACCATAATGAACACACTTGTATCCATCACCATTTTGGTAAGAAATCTTAGACATCAAATATTATCTGTAGTTATCTATTGTTTGGTAAACTGTTTCGTTTTTTCAATTAGTACTATAACTAGGGGAGAAAAAAGAACCTACAGAGAATGGAGGACTCAACCCACAGCACAATTCATTTTTTTTAATTACTTTTTTATTTTTTAGTTTTCGGTGGACATAACATGTTTATTTTATTTTTATGTGGTGCTGAGGATGGAACCCAGCACTCCATGCATGCCAGGCAAGCGCGCTACCGCTTGAGCCATATCCCCAGCCCAAATCAGGTTTTATATAGTATAAACTATCATAAGAAAAGAAGGGCAGAAATTAAATGAATATTTGTTTCAATGTCAAGACATATGTAGTGGGCTGGGGGTGTGGCTCAGCAGTAAAGCGCTTGCCTCGCACATGTGAGACCCTGGGTTCAATCCTCAGTACCACATAAAAATAAATTTTGCCTCGCACAAGTGAGACCCTGGGTTCAATCCTCAGTACCACATAAAAATAAATAAGTGAAATAAACGTTAAAAAAATGTAGCATTCATGACTCTGGTAAAATTTTCTAGTAGGGTAGCAACTAAACCATCAATTCTGCTCAGCATATGGAAGATTACTCAGGGGGACAAATTATACAACAAAGGTATAGAACAAATAACTTTAAGGTTATTTGCCTTTGTCTTAAGGTAAGACAGTGATGTTTAACAGGAAAATTACTTGTGTACTCCAAAATATTAACAACAAAACAGCAAACTGTACAGGAAATTTAATTACACAACCTTGCATTTTTGACTCCTCAGGTTTAACTTTTTTTTTTTTTTTTTAAATAACACATGCTCCTTTCACCCAGAGCTAAGAAGTAGTCTACCTGAGAATCTAGTACAAATAATCGGGATGGTAGTTCTAGAAAGACTATAAAATGACTATACTACTTGTCAGTAAAAATCCTGGTGACAATTTTAAGATAGCTAAACCTTCCTGAGAGGTGACAGGGAGGGTCTACAAAATATTCTCACCTTGTCCCCCCAAGGGGCCGTACCAACCTTCCTTCTTTTACCTGAACCTGCTCTTTGGCTGCAGGGAGGACACTGGTGAAACACATTCTTCTCCTGAGTAGATCAGAGAAACATTCTGATCTTGCTGCCCTACTATGTAAGTTTGTCACTTCTAGATTCACAAAATGGCAGTCATTGATGTGTCCTCTGCCTGAGCTCTCCCTACACAGGACTTTACCTGTGTCTGCATGAGAAATACTGGGGAGGAAAGAATAGTGGCTAGATTTCTGACAGCCTGGTTACAGGAACCAGTGACTTCCAAGGTTACAGTGATGGAGATCACTCAAGAGGAGTGTATGATGCTGACTCTTAGAGAAGTCTGTACAGAGGGGCAATGTTGGTAAACTAAAAATCTCACCACAGTGGAATATCAATTACATAGACCTTCTGTGAACTCCTCCCAGATCAAGAAGACATGAGAGGGGCTGGAGCTGGGGCTGGAGCTCAGTGGTAGAGCGCTTGCCTAGCATGTGTGAGGCACTGGGTTCAATTCTCAGCACCACATAAAAATAAACAAATAAAACCAAGGTATGCTGTCCATCTACAACTATAAAAAAAAGTTAAAAAGAAGACAGAAGAAGTATTGAAAAGGAGAATTCCCCAGGCCATCTGTCCACACTGGAAGATCAACTTAAAGCCAGAGGGCCAACTCCTATGCAGAATATTTTGGAAGAGAAACCATCCATCCAATGGAGAGCAAATAGGATTCATAATGAACAACTGGTGCTCCACATTAGAAGACGGGGAATGTGTTAAGATTAGAATGTACCACAAATCCCAGAGGGATGTTTGAGGCAAGTGACATATAACCAAAAGGAACCGATATCTCAGGAGAGATTATGTGACTATCATGAGTTAGAATAAAACTCTAAACTTAGATCAGAACTCGTTTTTTTACAGAGTGTTTCCACAAGTAAACATTGCCATAAATCTTATTCAGACAGTGAACATTTGGGGACACAATTCAATTGCAAACAATTATGAGAAAGACTCTCTAAGTGAGAAGCACTGTGAAAGTCATTAATGCGATCAAGCTCTGTGGATCATAAAAAATCTAAAACAGCAAGAAGAGAATGAATACACATGCCGCAAACCTGGTCTGCACTTCAAACACAGTAACATGCTTTCTACACACAACAGTTTTCACATGATAGGAAACTCTCATGAACACATCAAAAAGAAGAAAACATTTTGTCATCATTTGCCCCTTAAGTAACAAGAACAGATTCATACTGGTGAGAAACAATATGAACGTGATCAATGTGGAAAAGCCTTTAAAAGGAAATCCAAGTGAGGCGCGGTGGTACACACCTGTAAATTCAGGAGGAAGCTGAGGCAGGAGGATCACAAATTCAAAGCTAGCCTTGTAAAAATAAGGTACTTAGCAACTCAGTGAGACCCTGTCTCTAAATAAAATACAAAAGAGGGTTGGGGGTGTGGCTCAGTGGTCGAATGCCCCTGAGTTCAATCCCCAGTACCAAAAAAAAAAAAAAAGGAAATCTAATTTTATTTTGCACAAAAAAAGTCACATGGGTGAGAAAAAAATATGAATGTAGAGAATGTGGGAAGGTATTCAACAACTCCTGCACCTTAAGGAGACATGTAAGAAGTCACACTGGAGAGAGACCTTATGAGTGCAGTCAATGTGGAAAAGCTTTCAGTCAAAAACTATCTCTTAAGGCTCATGTGAGAATTCACATGAGTGTGACCTAGAGAGAGACCCTATGAGTGTGCCCTTTGGCGCAGCTCTTACCTCATAGAACACAAGAGAATACATGCCGGGGAGACATTCTATGGGTGCAGTGACTGTGGGAAAGTCTTCAACCCCAGCTCTCACAAGGTTCACAAGACACACACTTGAGGGGCTTTTTTGATGCAGTGACTGGGAAAGCCAGGGGCCTCTCATCCCTCAGGATGCATAACAGGACTCACCCCAGGGAAAAGGCCTACCAAAGGAAGGAGTGTGGGGAGGTCTTACCAGTTCCTCTTCCCTGAGGAGACACGTAGGAATTCACACTTGGGAGAAACCCTACAAATGTATCCAATGTGGGAAAGCTTTCAGAGCCCTTCACTTACTATACACAAGAGACTTCATGATGAGACAGAAACCCTGTATGTGCTGAGTCTGTTGTCATCTTTTTCATTGTCTAATGGTGCACTTCAAAACTCATTATTTGGTCTTTCTTCTCTAAAATTAGCATTTAAGGTTAAATATGGCCCTGAAGACACTCCTTTGACTTTATAACACATTTTGTCCCATGTTAATATATTTGAATATTGTCTACTTGTCATGATATTTTTGATCCTTAGCTATTTACAATTCCATATTTTTCACATGTGAAGTTGCCTTTGTGAGTTCTGAGTTGCTGCACTGGTTCACAGTATCTGGAACATGTAAAGCTACTTTATTGGTGTTTTCTTGAGAGTTGCCATCAGGCCCAATAAGGCAAATATTGCTTCTGGCCTAACTGCTCATCCTTCCTAACTAATGTAGCCAAGGGTGACAACATCCTTCTTTCCTGACCAATCAGAAATAGACTAGTATCACTGGACCCGACTACTTTGTTCTTTTTGCAAAACTTTGCCTTTCTGCCTTCTTTCTTCTGCCTTCAAAGGTACCATTTTTGGAGCTGAGAGAGACATCTATCTTGTGCCCAGGAGAATGACAACTATTGCGTAAAGAAAATGTAGAAGAGCTCCTGCTTCCTCAAAACAGCTTTGAATAGCTGTGCTAGTCCTCCTCCCTGCTTATTACCAGGACTCTCTTTTTTAGGCAGTGCTTGGGATGAAACCCAGGGCCTAGGCAAGTGCTCTATCACTGAACTACATCCCCAGACCAGGACATCTTTATATGTGAGAAAAATTAAATATACTACTTTTTTTTAAAAAAGTATGTGAGTGGAATCAATACAATGTGAGTATATGTATTTGCAAAGGAATCCAAAAATGAAGATGGAAGAGGAGTGTGGGCTGATTTTTGTGCTTAGGCAGGAGATAAAGATAGAACTGAAGTCACTTGGAAGCAAGACATCAGAGAAGGAAGGGAATTCCAAGATTTCAGCACCAGAAATCTAGGAAGTTCTCAGACAGAGGGCAGATTACCAATGTTAAATGCAAAGTGAAGCTTGAGGTTGGATTATTACCACACAGCATTTACTTCACTCACTCTGAATATACTGTTGCTCTATCCCCTTATCTTTCTGCATTCAGAGTACCTTCCTGTCTCAGTGCTAAAGCTTAGTTTATTCTCCTTTTGTAGACTTGTAAAAACTTGACTGAAACACAGTAATACAGGGAGAAGTTTATAGCATCTGTGAATTTTCCCAAATAGTACAATCCTACTTAACCTGCCCCTAGATGAACAAAGAGCCCAATCAACACCTCTCCCACTTCCCTAGTGCTGCAAAGGTCCCCCACTTCCCTGGTGCTGCAAGGGTCCCCCACTCTTTACTTGGCACCCTCCTTCTTGTGCTGTCCCTATGCTTCTAGTTTCACTTACATGTTAAATTCCATAGGCTATTTATTGAAAACCAAATATAATATAATTATCAGTGAGTTAACTTAATATTCATTTATATCACAGTTGACAAATTTTCTATAAAGGCCCAGACACTATTTTAAACTTTGCAGGCCATATATCTCTCTATTGCATATTCTTCATCCTTTGAAAATAAAAATTAAAAAATAAACAGACATTTAAAAATTGTAAAAACCATTCTTAATTCACAGGCCCTGATCTGGACATGGGCCACAATCCCCAACACCTGACTATATTTCACACAAGTCAGGTCCCACTGAGTAGAGAGCAGGTGGTTCCTGGATCTGAATCAGATAATGGAATATATTAGGTAAACCCTTAAGTACATAAAATATCAACTTAAATAAAGTGTTTTCATGTTCTCCCTAATATTGACAGCTCAGGTAACATGATCTTCACCCTGATACAGACTACCAACTACCTTAGAAAACCAAATCCAATACTAGATAACCATCTCTATCCAGGCATTATCAGTGTTTGAGCCAGACTACAGTTTTAAGTTCAATATCAGAATCTCCTAAACGAATCTTATGCAAAGCTTTGGGATGCTTCAAAATATGTATACAAAAATGGCATAATGACAAAAGCTTCCAGAGAATGCAGCCCTTCTGATCATGCATGCAGAAGTCTAGTGGCATGTAAATAAGGCTCTCCAGGACCAGATTATTCTAGGTTTTATCTCCTAAAAAAATGACTCTGAACGTGTGAGGCACTGGATTTGATCTTCAACACCACATAAAAATAAACAAATAAAATAAAGGTATTAAAAAATGACCCTGAAATGAGATATTTATCCATTAACACCTTTTACAGATGTGCAGCTACTATAGTATCAGTGCTCAACAAAGTTACTCCTATTTACTGATTCCTTCTATGAAATTGCTTACCTTGCTGATTAAAGCAAACTTACCCTGAAGGTGTGAGCTGTGCCAGCTGGGCAGCTGATCATGCCAAAAGGCTTATATATGTGCTTATGAGAAAACTGTTCTCTCTGTAAATGGAACAAAAAAAGGAAACTGCCTGGGAAATTTGCTGTGATGCATCTTCCATTTCAGACTGTCTTAGTTAGATTCAAGGATAAAGAGGAGTTAGCATAACTTTAAAACCAAATTCTCTCATTGCAAAGTTAAAACCAGAAAACGCCTAATGTTTCTGTGTTTGTATGATGTTCCTATGAATGCAGAGCACTCTTCTTGTGGATGTCAATATCGTAGTAGTTACACTTTCAGAGTCACATATGCTGTGGAAGATGAGCAGGTACAAGATTAGTTTAGTAAAAGCCAAAAGGTTTATTCATAACTTCCTCTTCAGAATTCACTTTTTTAAAAAATCCCATCTCCCCCCACCCCAAAATGAGACCCTTCCCCACACCGATTCCACCCAAGATGACTGCTCATTAGAGTAGTTTTTCAACATGATTCCCTCATCTGAGCTTCAGATACTGCCTTCTCTCCTTCAAGAGTATTTAAAATTTTAATAAATACTGCATGGAAAATATAGGAATTCCCAAGCACTGTGTTTCTATGCATCACTTCATTTATGTACTTTCTGATGTCCAAAGTACCCTTTTCTAAAGCTCTTTCTTACCATGCATCTGTCCTGGCTGAACTAACAGATGAAGAATAAAGACTGATATCTCAAATAAAAGTTTCCTCATATCTTAATAGGAAGGAATTTACAAAAGTAGAGTGAAAGACTCCTACCAAATGAAGAGTATTCTCAGTGTTATAAGAACAATTTCCTCAATAGTGATTTTGTCTTCTGATAGAGAATGAGCAGCTATAATGGCTTTCCCATTTTGGGACTCTTCTGCAGGATTTTGAATAAGGTGTGGATCACATCTTTACATTTACACAAGGCTTCCTTCTGAGAGTTGTCTGAAGGGAAAGTGAGGCATTACCTTTTGCTGTTTACTGATGAATTTGTTCTTAGGTTTTCTTTATAGTGTGTTCAGCAAGAAAAGAGTGGTAATTAAATGACTTTTCATAAACATAGGGGTTGTCCAGTGAGTGTGTTCTCTGGTGCTTAGCAAGGTTTGAACTCCAGCTGAAGGATTTGTTGCACACTTTGCAAACATAAGGCTTCTCTCCAGTGTGAGTCACCTGGTGCAGAATAAGGGAGAAGCTCCTGCTGAAGGCTTTGTTGCACTCAGCACAGGTGTAGGGCTTCTCTCCAGTGTGGGTCTTCGTGTGCTGCGTGAGAGACGCATGCCAAGTGAAGACTTTTCCACATTCGTCACATTCGTAGAGCTTTTCTCCAGCGTGGACTCTCTGGTGTTTCGTGAGGAACGAGTGGCAACGGAATGCCTTCTGACACTCAGGGCACTCGAAGGGGGTCTTGGTCGTGTGGATGCTGTGATGTCGAGTGAGGTGTGAGGAGCGCCGGAACGCCTTCCCACACTCAGTGCACTCGTAAGGCTTCTCTGCAGTGTGTGTCACCTGATGGCGAATAAGTTCAGAGCCACTGCTGAAGGCTCTCCCACATTTCCTACAAACATACTGCTTCTTCCCTATGTGAATCCTCTGATGTCGGGTGAGATTGGAAGCACGGCTGAAGGCCTTTCCACACTCAGTACATTCGTAGGGTTTCTCCCCAGTATGTGTTCTCTGGTGCTCAACGAGGAAGGAAAGGTAACTAAAGGTTTTATTGCAGTCCTTACACTCGTGGGGTTTCTTCCCTGTGTGTATCATCTGATGTTTCACCAGGTTTGAAATCTGGCTAAAGGTTTTGCCACATTCCTTACACACATACGGTTTCTCTCCAGTGTGAGTTCTCTGATGTAACACGAGGGAAAACCGCCGACTGAATGTCTTCCCACACTCGCGGCATCCATAGGGCCTTTCTACTGCACAGATACTCACGTGTTGAGGCAGAGCTTCTTGGTGAGGGTCTGCCACTTTCCCAGTACATCCCTGATTTCCTTGAAGTGTGTCAGGACCACCCTTGCATTTCCAGGTTCCTTTAATGCTGGAATACATGGGACCTTGGCTTAGTATTCTTCCCATCATTAAATACTGGGATGAGTCATCATGAATGACATCTTCTGGAGAAAATTCTTGGATCTCAACACTTGACTCTGACACTGAAAGATACAAAAAAAAAAGCAAATAAGGCAATTTTTTTTTCTGTATTAAGTAAATTTAAAAGCCATTCCTTTTATTTACTTACTTATTTTGAGACAGGGTCTCACTAGGTTACCCAAGCTGGGCTTGACTCATGATCCTGCCTCAGCCACCCAAGTGGCTGAGATAGCAGGCCAGACTTGGCTTTTTCTCACCACCATTGCCCCACCTTTTTTTTTTTTTTAATATTTTTTAGTTGTAGATGGACACAATACTTTTATTTCATTTGTTTTTATTTTATGTGGTGCTGGGGATCAAATTCAGAGCCTCACACATGCTAGGCAAGTATTCTACCATTGAGCTACAGCCCCAGCCCCTTCTATTTTTTGTTTTGAGACAGGGTCTCACTAAGTTGCCAAGGCTGGCCTCAAATCTGCAATCCTGCCCTAGCTTTCTGAGTTGCTGGGATCACATATGTGTCACCACACCCAACTCTGCCATTCCTCCCTTTTTGATGAGAGAATTGGGGGGAAATTAAAAATAAAATTTAGCAATTCCACGGCTTTCATAGCTGCTATATTTAGCTGTGAAGTCTGAGCAGTGTGCCCAGTAATCAGAAGAGACAAGGTTAATTGAGATATGGACACACAGGGGGAAAGACTACATGTAAGTAATGAAGGAGAGGGGGACAAAGACACAATCATCCAGGAGACAGATGGTCATGAAGGACAGGAGTTCATGTTCAGGTCTCTGTTCAAACTGCACTGGTTGCCAGAATGATCTGAAAGTGGCAAGTCCATGATGCTGCTAACGAACACTGTAAGTGTTCTTCAGGTCCCACAAGACATCCAACTGTGGGCTGAGTGCCATTTGGAACATCATACAATACCTGGGCCAAGTGGGAGGAAAGAAAAGTTTCTCCAAGAACTGCGCACTGACTCAGCCTTCTGTGCGGACAGGAGGCTCAGCATTGGTGCAGCTGTCTTCCCATCCAATACCTTTCACAGTCAGGCACGGCTTTGATTTCCTCAAGCCTGAATTTTAGGAAACGACTTCATTTTTCATTTGGAACAAAATTTTATAATATAAAACTGTGATTTATGTTCTTTGTGATCCTAGGGATGGAACCCAGGATGCTTTACCACCGAGTAGTACCCTAGTTCATTTTATCTTTTTTTTTAAATTTATTTTTTGTAGTTGTAGTTGGACAAAATAACTTTATTATTTATTTATTTATTATTTTTATGTGGTGCTGAGGATCAAACCCAGGGCCTTGCACGTGCAAGGCGAGCATTCTACTGCTGAGCCATAACCCCAGCCCCCTTTTAATCTTTTGAGACATGTTCTAGTCAGCTATTTTGCTGCTGTGACTCAAAGATCTGACTAGAATAGTTGTAGAAGAGGAAAAGTTTATTTGAGGGCTCACAGTTTCAAAGGTTTTAGTCTAAAGAAGGCAAGCTTCATTCCTTGGAGCTCAAGATAAGGCAGAACATCATGGCAGAAGAGTGTGGCAGATAGAAGCAGCTCACATGGTGATCAGGAAGCAGAGCAAGACTCCACTCTCCAGAAACAAAATATACACCCCACAGCCACGACCCCAATGAACACTTCCTCTAGCCATACCCTACCTGTCTCCAGTTACCACTCAGTTAATCCCATCAGGGATCAATTCACTGATTAGGGTAAGACTCTCACACCCCGATCATTTCTCTTCTGATCCTTCTTGCATTGTGTCACACATGAGATTTTGCAGGACACCTCATATCCAAACCATAACAAGACAGGATTTTCATTACATTGCCCACACTGGCCTTGAACTCACAATTCTCCTGTCTCAGCCTCTAAGCTTCTGGAACTACAGATATGCACCACCAAGTTCGGCTGAAGGGGTTTTTAAAAAAATATATTCAAATCCTCACTAGGCAGGTGGTGCATGCCTGTAATCCCAGTGACTCGGGAGGCTGAGGCAGGAAGATCACAAGTTCAAGACCAGCTTTAGCAACTTAGTGAAACCCTGTCTCAACATAAAAAACAAAAAGGACTGAGGATGTAGTTCAGTGGTTAAGCACCCTAGGTTGAGTCCCCAGTACCAAAATAAATATATATGTGTGTGTGTGTTTTCAAATCTTTATTCTTAGGAAATACACAAGTATGTAAGGGTAAAATACCATGATATGTATAATTTATTCTCAAATGTTTCAGGAAAAAATGTAAACCAAATGATAAGGCAAATGTGGCAACATGTGAGCCGTGTAGGTAAAGGGCATGTGGGTATTCTTTGTGTTATTCTTACAACTTTTCTGTAAGTTTAACATTATTTCTCAACAACATTTAAAAATTCACTATTCTCCTGGGCTGAGAATCTAGCTCAAGGGTAGACTACTTGCCTATCATGCATGAGACCCTGGGCTCTACCCCAACACCACAAAAAATAAAACCAATTCATTTTTCTCTCTAACATAGTTTGACACATTTTGAGGGGGAAGGAATGCTATTCCATATTATCACTGTTAACTTTTAGGGAAAAGTAAATAGACCTTATGCCTTTTGCCGGGGAGGTTACCTGGTATTGAATTCAGGGGCGCTCGACCACTGAGCCATATTCTCAGCCTACTTTGTATTTTATTTAGAAACTGGGTCTCACTGAGTTGCTTAGTGCCTCACTGTTGCTGAGACTGATTTGAACTCGAGATCATCCTGCCTCAGCCTCCTGAGCCGCTAGGATTACAGGCATGTGCCTCTGCACCCAGCAACCTTGTATCTTTAATGTCTGTTTTAGTAATGAATCAACATCTGTACCTATGCCGTACGCACATACGCACACAGAAATACAGGATGATTACAAGAGGGGAGACAGCAAAATAGCTTCTGGAATAATGATCTCAATAAAGAGAAAATTAAATTCCTTTCCTGCCGCTTTCATAAGCCAATTACATGTCTTCTGAGTATCTGTGTAAGAGCCGTGGGGTTCCTGACAAATTCTCTTCAGAAGCTGAGAATATCAGTAAAGAGAACACAGAAGAAAACATTAGCTAATGATATAAAATCAAAAGAATACGTTCATTATATTTAGAGTAAAAATCATAAAAAAAAAGATGAAGTATGAAAATCTATGACACAGAAAAGAAAGGCTTCATCAAGAAGACTAGTTAGAGTTCAAATCCCTGAATAAATCTGCACATTTAACGATACTGGAAAAAGCTGTGTTAATTACATGGATCTAGGATCATTTTTGCCTATGAGTCCCCAAAACAATGAGTAAAAAAACACAACCAAGAAAACCAGGTTTAAGATATTAACATACAAACCACATGTGGTAGCACACAACTGGGACACACAGTAGTCCCAGCTACTCAGGAGGCCCTAGCAGGAGGATCTCCAATCCCAGGCCAGCCTGGGCAACTAAGCAAAATCCTGCCTTGCTGGAAGCCAGGCATGAATTATGGGTCTGTTGAGCCAACACAAGGCAGGGAGGCCACTTTTCTGGGGACTCCTGGTTCGAGAAAGCCCAGGTCATGCTGGTGCTCTGCCTCAGCTCCAAGCCCTAGGTTCAAATGCAGCTGCCAGAGATGGTATAATCAGCCACCAAACAACTTGTCTTCCCATCCCCACCCTGTCTTCCTCGAGAAGCCTGCCACATGGAAACTTCTGATGTACTTCCCCTTAAATAAAGGATCTTAAATAAAGGATTATTCAGTTCCAGTTCCTCTCAGGGCTGGAAAACCCACCAGGAATCCCACCTTTAAATCTAATTTCTGGGTTTTTTGGTTTTTGGGGTTTTTTTTTGCTACAAATAGAAAACTAGAACTTTATTGGTGAACTTACACTATTACCAAGGAGAGTGAGGGTGGGAGGAGCCAGGCTTTTTAAAAAGTGTCTGTTGTCTTTTATTCCTTACTGATTTTTTTCAGACTTTTTATTTTCCCAGATAGTATACATTTCCAAACAGTAATCTGCTCTACTGGGGTGCTAGTAACCTCAGCACTGCCTCAAGAAATAGAAAACAGCTGTGAAAGTAGCCCAGTGGCGAAGAGCCCTGGATTCAATCCCTAGTACGGGGACAGAGCAAGAGGGTATCAAAGAAAAAAAGAATATAGAAAGAAAAACCATTCAAACACTGAACAAAAGAAAGAAAGAGTGGTTACAATAATTTCAGACAAAGCAGACATCTAAAGAAGAGCACTGCATGAGAAGAGTCCTCAAGGCTGGGGTGTAGATCAGTGGCAAACCATTTATCAAAAGTGTATGAGGGGAGATCCAACATGGCAGCGGGTTCGGAGAGATCAAGTCTCTGACCTCTTCAGCTGCACGAGCATAGGGAGTCTTAAACCATCTAAATGCTGTTTGCTCAGGAGCACTAGGCAATGCTGAGCGAACAATCTGCGAATCTCAGAACACACACCAATCCTGGAGTGGCTGAATTCAGGCTCCCGATCGCCTGCATCTTGCAGACAAACTGCTGTGACTCAGCACTAAACGATCCCGATCCCACTGAAACAACTTGACGGCTTTTCCTGATCCTGTGGAGGTTAATACCAACCGAGCCTCCATAGGCAGTGGCCACAGGATTGAGACGGGGCTTGGGAGAGTTGGTCAGGACTGACCCGTTGCATCGGTCGGCCAGCAAAGGAAATGAACTGTCGCTGTCATTCGCATGGGATATCACCATGGCAGAGAACTGACGTCATCAGAATGCGGCAGAGGAGATAACTTCATTGAAACCAGCAGCGGCAGGTGAGTAACCCCCTAGCCCGCCTCCATCCACACAGCGGGGAAACCTTAAGGGACCCTCCC